CTCAAGAAATGTGTGCATCAGGCATAAGATTACTTATACTAAGATCAAGAATATTGTCGACAACGATGAAAAGGTCACATACATATTAAATATGATTTCAAGATGACTTCCGTTCCGTTTTGGTGTAACACGAATAACAGTAATTAGTATGGACTGTAGCATACATCTCTTGACCATTAGACCGTCAATAATGTGTCACATCGGATAATTTCTATTTCTTTGCTGAGCCACAACCATGAGTTGGTCGTAATGACCAGTGGCATTTTGAAAAGTGTTTTCATGATAAAAGTTTTTTTCCCATCGCCAGAACACTTTTTCTTTCTTACTTTATTCGCATTCATAGAATTAAATTCTCAAATGAATTAAAATAATTACAAGTGTATGTGACATCGAAATATGTTGGCGGCAATGAAATATGTTGGACACATTTTGTCACACACCAGCATCCATCTCATTTTGAAAGGAACTGAAGTGCTAACTACATGAAAAGTGCGTAATAACGCTTTGTTCAATACGACAGAAAGAAAATCGAAACAAATGCCGAAAACAACGCAAAACATTACTGTATTTTGCCATTAACTTGTATTGGTAAACACAACAAAATCGAAACTGTGGATCTCAATGTGAAGTGCCAACATTTACAAATTTTGTTGTATCATGTCGTTTCGATTGTCGTCAGTTTGTTTGAAAACTATTTTTCTTTCTTGCTCTTGAAACCATTAAGATTGATTTCGTTCGTCTTTTGTTTGTACACAACAAGTGTTGTGCTTTCATTTCTCATTAAATTGAGGCTGAAATTACTGAAATATTTTAATGTGAATTGGTCAAAAATTACACATGACTGTAGGTCATTTTGAGTGCCGTTAGGTTTCAAGTTATTTGATTATTCATAAATGACCAAAAATTGAAATTCCAAAATCATCATCAGCCACGCATATCTTTTGCTATTTCAATACCATGTAAGCAAATTTTCCGTAGTCAACAGCTCACGAACAATCTTACCAAATTGGCTGCTGTTTACTCCCATTTTTCACTCTAATTCATGATAAATACGTTGATTGCGTTTGGCCCACAAAAAATGGACAAACAAATTCAAAACCATTTGTTATATATATGTTCAGTTTTTTTTTTGGAGTTCGCACTCAAACGCACGATAAAAAAAATCGGTCGAAGATTGATTTATATACGTGTTTCAGAGTTGTTAGTTGCGATTCGTAGACTAATCACGCCACAATCATTACTCTTCGAGTAATCGAATGAGAACGGAAGAAAATTAGTCAAAATATTCATTTATAGTGTGCGTTTTTTCGTCGATCTGAACAAATTGAGAGAGGATCGTTAATAACTGTCATGCAAACGCACCAGGTAGCTACTTGTTTTGAGAGATGATTCGAAACACTCAACGAAAAAAACAAATCAATAGAGAGATTTATTCAATCGGCCGAAGCGAAGAAAAATCGCTGTCGATGTGGAGAAAAGGGGCAATACGGTTAAATAAACAATATTCCTTTTCTATGAATACTCAACAGAGTCAACCTTCTCATACCCATCAAATAGTTACCGATTTAAAAAAAAAAAACATTGTTGGGTTCACAAAATGCAATGGCCGATTCAATTGAACAATGGGCTCTAGCAAGTGAATTATCATAATTTCTTTATTTTTATTTTTTTGTTCTCGCATCGTAACACTCGAATAACGTTTTTTTAAAAAAATGGATAAATGAAAAGAATCGATTGGCGGCCAGAGTCCGAATTATGAATTTTATCACTAATCACAATGAACAGCATGGCACATTCAGACGCGCTTATTATACATGTACTACACTGAAAACAAGTTTTGGATGAGCCAGACTGAACGAAATAGAAGGAACTTATGAAGTGATTAATCAAACTATTATTTATTTATCTAAAACCCTCTCTCATTTAGAGGCGAATAAAAGAAAAGGGCTTCTTTACGAGCGACGAATATAGTTGTAAAATGCAGGAGAGAACAATAAACAATAAATCTAGCAAGCGTTTGTTTCTCGTCATCTCCCACTTCTCAATTTAAACGTTTATCGAATATGACTCGCTTTGGCATCCTTAACGCATTCGATATTAAAAAATATACAATAAAAAATGTGATACAACGTTGTTAGATTGTATTATTCAGGTTTGTTCGAATTGTTTCCAAATTATTTTCTTTTTGATGCGGCGCGTCAATTGCACAACTTGATTAAAATACCAAATCGAATTGAATTGCTCGTAAAACGTTGAAAAGATTCACTATCGACAATCATAGAACATTGCCAGTTATTTCTATATCATGAATGGACTTCTTTGTGCTGCAGCGGAAAAAGTGATCAAAAACAATAAATTCCATTTGAATTTCGATAAAATGATAAAAGAAAAGTAATTGTCTGATATGGAAATGGATTTAGAGAGAAAATAGTAATCCTTTAAGTCGCACACAGGTTCTTTTGATTGACCGTACCGCGATCACCCTCTGTCTTTCTCTCTCTCAATTGAACCGACCAGCGAGGTGAAAATGAAATATTCATTTTTGATGGTCCATCAATAGTCGATTTAATCTTTTTTGCTTCGGACGTAAAAGAATCACTAAAATTGCCGATCAAATATACTCGATTGGATATCGATCTATTAAAAAGAAATCATTGGATAGATGGACCAATGTCGACCGCCAGCGACAGGCACACCAGAAATCAAGTGTACATTTAGTTTATAACAAATCTAAACATTCGAAGCAGGAAAAGAACAAATACAGCACTGTAAAAAGAGGCAACAAGTCAATATTCAAAGGCGAAGCCGATACATTTTCGTACCGCATCGAAATTGATGTAAAAAAAACTCGATGGGAAATGATTTGAGACAGGTGTTTGTGTGATTGAAGTGAATCGACATCCACACAAGTGTTCAATGCATTCGCTTTTCATGTTTTCTTCGTAATTTTGATGTTGTGTTTTTTCCTCTCAATGCATTCCATTCGCATCTGATGATTCTGCCATAACGATTGCAGTCCCTTCTCGACGTGGTCAGCAATTCCGCTCCATTCTTGTTGATGATGTTTATCCTCGCACTGCATCATGCTACCAACTGGAAGTCTTGCATTCACGCAAGCAATCATTTGCCATAATAATGTTGATTAGCTTTTGTCGGCATAAATATATACACAGTCTGTTGTTGCGCTTGTTGTTGCCGTTGTTTATATTTGATTTCTCTTACGGCCGTTGAAAATTATGACCACGACGAAATGCGGGAACAACTACAAAAAAAAAGAGCGAGAAATAAAAGGGAGAAAAAGGGAAAAAAGTAAAATGTTTTTGTGCCGATTGTAATCGTCAGCTCTCGTCATCTCATCTCAATGTGTTTTTATTTTTTTCCTCCTTCGTCAAACAACAAAACATGGAAAACCGTGCATACTCTGTCGATCAAATAAACCGGAGGCAATGTCGGAATCCGTTTTAATCCAGACGCCTTTTAGCCATCTGAACATATTTATTTTTGGATTTAAGGATGCGATCGTATCCCAAATCCGAAATGTATATATTGTTGTTGTCAAAGTGAAAATAAATGACTTGAAAAGAGAGAGGCCGACATAACATAAACATTTAAATTTAAAAACGGAAATTATAGGCAAATTTACCTCTCTTTCTATCCAAATTCATGGTAATTTAACTGAAAATTGCGTCAAATATGACTCTTTCTTTCAAAAAAGAATCACATTGCATATACATACTGTGATTATGCTCTTCTTGTGTTGTTTGCTTTGTACATTCAGTTTTATGATCGCTTTTACACACACACACACACGCAATTTATACCCATACGCCTTGCCAGATTCGTCGTCGTAGTCATCGTCATCAACGTCATTGTGTGTATCGTTTTGTTCCACTTCTCTGTCTCGTGTTTATTCTTTCGTTGTTTTGTATACAAATTCGTAATTTTTTTTTTAAATATATGTGTTTTCTTCTTCGTTTTGTTCGAATTTTCGGCTGCTATTTAATACTCACACACTTCACACGCGCACATACAACAAAACGCACATCACACACTACGATCTCTTTGCCTCTTTCTCTCTGTGTCTCGATGAAATCGAACTAAAAAAATGTGTGTGCTCATGTGTCTTGGCCTTTGAAAACCCATACTTAGTTTGGTTTTTTTCGTCGTTGTGTCATGTTGTGTATCGCTCCAGAGCGTTCCGCGGCTTATTTTTTTTAAATTTTTCGATAAAAAAAATCGGTTAACTTTACAAACGTGTAATTGAGTTATAGGCTGGTACGATCCAGTTCGAATTAAAAAAAAATCGCGCAAAGTCTGATCACCAAAAACAAAACGTGTATTGAAACTATTCCATATTTCATAATTGAACTAGTGCGAAATATTTCACCAAAAATTGCTAAGAAAAGCAGCTTTGAGCGAGAAAATGTCCAGCTAAGAGAAATTTATTTGTGAATTTGTTTCCTTTTGTTGCTCTTCGAGTGTAAGTGTGTTTCTGATTCATTGGCTTTTGGTGTGGCGCGACTCGAACTTTAAACACTAACGGAATGTGTGCATAAAATCAAGTGTGTGAGAGAGGGAGAGAGTTGACTTATGCTTTTGCCACTGTCACTGCAACTGTGTTTTAAAATAGAAGCGAGTATTCCATGAGGACAAACTTGAAGACAATACTTTGGCAAAAAAGTCAAACAAGAATAGAAGAAGAAAAAAAAATCCACCCTGCGAATAACTACGCATATGTGTGTACTGTACATTGCATAACATACACTTATAGTCTCTTCGAAACGGGAGATAAAGTTAAAATCGTATTTGCTCCGTTTGTTATCTCGATATATAGTCGAAGCGCATAACATAAACGTGCCCAAGTGTACAAGTTGATGAGTTAAGTTGGCAAAAATTGCAAAGAAAAGAAGCACATCCAGAGAAGAAGCAAAAAAAAAGACAGTGAACTGAACAGTGCGCTGAAGAGAAAAGAGTAAGTGTGGAAAACCAAAAGTGTTCGCTATTTGAATTGAGCAGTTGGGGCATCGTTAAAGTTCCAAACAGAATTTTCGCTGATCTAAGTGAGAACAAACCAACAACAATAACACATCAATTCAGTTCCAGTGCAGTTTGAAACGAAAAAGCAAGTTCAAATTAAGATATTATGTGCAATATGAGTGTCGTCGTTGTTGCGCTGTGACGCTGTGAGCATTATATTACATTGTGTCTTTTGGTTTTCATGTGTATCTCTTCATCGGGTATTTCTCTCTTGTCTTGATAACCCGTTCTCCTCTCGCTTAGGAGGCAAACTGTTCTGTTCTGTCGTCGGTTATCGAATTCTTGTTTGAAATTGTGAAAATTGCTTGTCGCAGAATTATAGTGGCTGCTGCCACCGTTTTAAATTCCTCGCCAAACTTGATGATAACACATCGGCAACGACAAAGATTCGAAAGTGTCCACCAAGGGAGTCATTGTACATAAAACTATACACGTTCGCTCATATAGTGGCTGTTTTGTTGTCATTGTTGTCTGACTGAGTGAGATGAAAGTTCGAGCAAATCCAAGTAAAAAAAATTAGCAAAGATTCCAAACCAGCAACAAAAGACAGAACGACGTACGAGCGAAACGAAATTGAAACAATTTTCATCGTTTTCGTTAACATCGCAATTTATAGGGAAATATATGTCCAACAATTGCTGGCTGGCTGGCGGTCGGTATATTTGTAAATCAGTGCCCCGTTAATACTTAATAGAAGGGAATTTTGAAGCAAGGAAACATTCATTTATTGCTCTAGATGATAGTTTATTTTCGTTTTCATGTGTGTCTGTGTGTGAATAGATAGATAAAAATTGCACTCAATTCCCGTAACGCGCCGTGACTGTACAGGGTTGACAAAAAATAGTCAAACAGAAAAAAAATTGTTTTTTTTTTTTTGCACCAACATAATTATCCAAATAAAATAAAAGATTGTCATCAAACAGAAAGCACTGAGAAAAAAGAGCAGCACGTATTTTAATATGTCAAAGCAAAGCCGTATCAATGGTGACTAAGCTCGACACAGTCCCTGTCCAAAATAGATAGAAATCACAGTGTGTATAGATGCACCCAACAACTTGTGTGTACTTAATCATTGAAGTTTCGTGTTGTGTAAAATTAAGTTTCATTCCAGTGTGTGTTGTACAACAGTGCAAGCTTATGTATGTTGCAAAACAGGACACATTTTATTGTATACAGAGACATACACATCTGGATGATGCTCGTCGCATATTTCGATCCCACCGGAATATTTTCTAATAATTGTGCACATAAATCGAAATAGTTTTCCTAAAGCGATGGAGAGAGAGAACCGAAAAAAAAAAAATAATAATAGTAAAATTGGCCAAGTGAATTCGGTTGGCTGAAGATTTCATTATATTTTCACCATTACGTATTAACAATTCATATTCCCGACAAGCACGAGCCCGAATACATTTCGGTGCAATTGAATGCAGAGCGTTAAAGAAGGATAAGAATAGCCGAAGTGAGAAATCAGTAGATAGAACGATAAAAGTGAGAAGGAAAGAGACATACACTGCAGTTATATATTTGCCGCAACATAAAAAAGTATTCATACACTGTGTATAAACTAAATTGTGCGGTTTTTACAGTAGTCCAATGTACAAACACACACCGAACAATTTTTATCGAATCAGCACAAAATGATAATGGAAAATTGTGTGTTGCATTGGCGATCGTCTGTGTGATTTTTATCTTGAATTGATTTATGGAATTGAAAAAAAGGTACCCGGCATTTTCGAGCACTAAATTTGCAAAATTCAAAAAATAAATACAGTGTGCGACACAAATCGAAGTCTGAACAACACATTTCAACCGCAATTAATTAGTCCAGAGCTCAAAATCGAAAAAGAATGTAAGTTTTAAAGTTATGTGCTTTTGTATGTTCACCAATCTGTATTTTCTCTCTCTCTCTCTCTCTCTCTCTCTCTCTCTCATACACACACACGTTTTGAAATTATTTCAATCGCTGAACATTTTGTTTGAAAATTGTGTTTTACTGCTGAAAATATCGTTTCGATAATGGCACTGATAAAATGAGAAACTCCCCAAAAATTTACTCGTAATTCTTGGTTTATGGTTACAAATTGTGCGCTAGAATCACGTTCAGAACCAATTTTTGTATTGTGTGTTTTGCGTTGAAACTAACTTTCTATCGGGATTTTTTCGGACAAATATTGTTCCGAGATCAAACACTAAGAGTGTGAACAATGTTCATAATTCTTTTTTTTTGGCTTCGGTTGGCATGTGCATCACATACAATGCTGACCTTATTTTATTTTTCTGTTGCCGCTTCTGTTGATTATCGATATGTTTTCATTAAATGTCCATTCATTATGAATTTGCACCCTCAAACAATTAATTGTGTTCGCTTTTTCCTGTTGTTTTATACCAAACGACACACGAACACCATCCATTTAATCGATTTTATTTTTGCCGAGCGAGCACACATACTTTTTTTCTTCTCTCTGTTGATTATTATACAATCATTTTTAATGGATTGTTTTGTATCCGGATGCAGTATGCACAGTTGCACACTGTGCATACACAATTCATTGTGCACAAATTTACACGAAATATACTTTTATAAAAACTAATGTATTTAATTGATTATTTATGCAGTCAACTCACAGATACAATCATAATATTATAACAATATGAAATTCGAAACGAAGTGATGAAAAATGCATGCAACCTAATTGTCGTCGGCGAAAATGTTGGTCAATAACAGTTACTGTCACAGTAGATGAAAATTACATCATTATTTTCATCCATACAATAATTTTTCGATGATTTTCTATGGAAGATTTTTTTTTTCCAAATCGAAATTGTATTTTTTCCTCCTTCAATCATCTTTCGTCATCGATTTTTTTTCAATAAAAATTGCAAAATGTGATGTGTGCATATATTATATATGAGATACAACGGTGTGATCAATCATCTCCAAACAACAAAATACGGGGAGAGAAACATTTTGTGTAATCCATTAATCAAATCAACAACAAAACTGTTTTATTGTGCTATTGCCGTAAAATCGATGGCTGTTGTGTACTGTTGCCTTCAATCGACCATACATGTACTTGTAAACCGTATGGCTTTATCTTAATTGCACTTAAATTGAATGTCAATAATGATTTGAAACAAAAATAAATGGTTCAGTTTTTTGAAACAACCTTTCAAGATATGTACTATGTAAAATGTCCGGCTATGTGATGCAATGAAGAAAAAAAAACGACCACGAATCGAAAAAATGGATTGGATTGGCATGCAAAGTGATTTTCAATTTAAAACGATCTGTCGAGCAATTAGCGCAATTAAAATTTATGCACACAGGTACGACCGAAGTGTATGAACAGATCGTTGACTGTAGCGAATAAATTATTTAATATATAAATTGGCTGAAAATCAAAATGCACGAAACACATATATGTAAAAATCACTTCATTAACAATAGATTCGTGCTGACGGTGTTTAAGTTTAATCGGGAGGTGCTCTCGATTATACTCACACACGTGAATGAAGTATTTGTTAATTTATGAAATATTTTCTGATCGAAATGCAACGACATATACCTCAGGGCAAAGAAATTTGCATTATACACTGCCTGAAAAAAGCACATTCCAATCTGTAAAGAGAGAATGTCAACGCACACACACACGCGCCTTTATATAGATGGTGTCATTTGGTTATGGTTTGAGCTGGCCTTCACAAAATCAAGATGCGTGCATTTTCTTCGGTTTCTATCACACCTTCCAGTGCACTTCAACCATAATAACAACGGCACGATCAATAAATCTTGATCAATTTTTAATCCATAAATAATAAATGAAAATGATACAATGTTGTTGAAGTGGAAGAAAATGAAGAATTTATGCGTTTGCCTTTTGCTTATCTATAAAATAGCCTTGAGAACTTTATGTAATTCAATTTGCATTGAGTTAAAGTCAAGTGCATTTAAGCCGATTTCGAGACAAAAAAAAACACGACAGTCAAAGACATGTATTGAAAAAGAAACTTCCCTACATTGTAGAAAGAATGCATATAGTTACTATTCCTAGTTAAGTCATGCGCTTAATCAACGCAACAAAAAAGAACAAACTGAAATAAGCAACTTACACGCACACCACAGATAATTATCATGACAGTAAAAAAAGTAAAATGAACAGATTCTCTTGCATAAATCCAAATCAGAGTCACTCCTGTGTTGGCTAGACTTGGCGATAACATTTTTTTGCTGCACAGAAAACTACTTTGGAATTCACGAGCGATAAATGTAGTACTCTTATCAGTTCAATAGAAAGTCTTTTCAAAGAAAACTATTGTCAAAAGTCATTAATATTTGTGTGTGTAATTAATATGATAATTTTTAGGTATGTCAGAAATATCCAGTTTGTATATTTGATATTATAATTAAGAGCGTCAGTATTTGGATCGTTTGATTTCGTTGATATATGCCTGGAAAAAAATTAAAACGAGACCACCTTCGGTGTTTTTCGTGCAGTTCAACACAACACAACTGTAAATAAAATTGATTCGTACACTATGCCTCATGTCGTTCAAGAAGTGAATCACTTCAAGCGTCTTTTTTTACCCATAGATTATGTTTGAAATATTCAAGCAAAATATTCAAAAATTTTCGAATTCAAACAGCGTTCCAACAGCCATTTGGCGTCCAGACAGATAACATCAAAGAATATAATTAATGTAAAATATGTGCTTGATTTCGAACTTGTCGTGATGTTCATTCAACTGGTTTGCAAACAGTTTATGGTGACATTAGTACGCATATAAATCTTTAATTTATTTGCTGCTCTTTTTCGTCGTTCAACATGGACAAAAAAGGGGGAATAGCGCCTCATTTAATGTACTAAATTTATAGTATGCGCGATGCGAATCGTCCATTTCTTGAATTTAAAATGAAAAAGAAAATGCATATTGAATGAGGGAGAACAAAGCGATAACAAAACGAATGGTTAATCCAGAAGTCACGAATTTTCTTGCTATTCCGTTAACAAAAGTATCGCCCAAATTTAAATGTCACATCGAATACACTTTCTGTGCGAAAAAAAATCAAAATAAAAGTCATTTCTCTTCTTTTTTTATTTCGATAATAATAATGAGTTTTGTTTGCTGACAACTGCTACAACCAATTTATTTTACGGTAATGCGATGCATATGTCAATGAGATAATTTGTGAATTGACAAATGTGCAGGTTTTTCTTTCAACTTATGAGCACAGTTTTGTAGTTTCACTTAAGTTTGGTGCGCGAAACACAAGTGCCGCTAATTTGAACCAATTAAGCTAACCAATTTTCAATCCGAACTCAATTTTACCGACAATTCGAAATGGAGGTAAATTGAAAACCAACCGATTGGACCACGCATGCATTGGAAAGAAAAAGCAATGATAATGATATAATTTTTCCGTTAATCAATGTTGAATATGAGCGGAAAAAAATGAATCCCACAATGCGCTTTGCACTTTGAAAATCTAAAGACAATCTTTTCCTGTTCTTAATATGTCTTGTCTTCCTCTTCACATTTGGAAGTAATACATTTTGTGATTGCTTAACACGCAAATCGAATTTCATTCCCTCCGTTACTTAATTGTATGCATTTTTTTCGGGGACGATTTTTCTTTCTCTTCCTCTTTTTCCGGCTGCTTTTTTTCTCTCTATTCAAGTTGTTGCGCGTTGATGTGAGAATAAATTTTTTCCTCTTGCAACGAAAAAAAATAAACAGAAGAAACAAAACTGTTGCATTAGAGTCATTTAACGATCTGCCTTTTAAATGATCGTAAATCTTAATTGGCTTTTTAAATGCATGCCATAAATTTGTGTGTGGAACGGAGAAAAATGATTTCGAACGAACTGAACGTTGTTTGAGGAAGCCAAAATAGCAGCATCAACAGCAACCATTAAACAATTGATTGTTCCGTTGTTACATGACGTGGGTTCTCGTGTTGGATGGCCTCTTAACTCTTCCATATTTGCACTAATTAAAAGGTTACGTTTTTATTTGATGTGCGTGATCGACTTCTCTTCACTTTTCGTTTCTTCGCTTTAAAGTTTGAGTTTTGAATGTGAGCGTCTTCGTTTCGATATTTTCGGGGTTAATTTGAAAATTTGATACGCGAAACACCCAACTGATTAATTGGTTCGCATTCAATGTGTGTTAAATGAAAGAACAAGGTCGTTATTATTGAAAATTGAACTAATTTGTTCGATTTCCGAAACGATGTGACCCAAATATCATTTAATAATAACATTTTTTCGAACTAGTTAATTGATTTCGTGTTTCGTTATGCCATTTCGACTTATTCGTTGTTATTCATATCATTTTTTGTCTATCGCGCTTCAATAAGCAAAAATCACACATGAAAACAATACTAATTTTGATTGCATGCTATTTTTATGTAATATTTATTGCATGTTCTAATACAGACTGGTTGCTTTGGTGGCCTTTTTTTCATCATTTAACTGTGTTGCTGTGTCGTGTTTTAATAAAATTTATGGCCTGGATTGAAAGAGAAAGAAAAGAACTTAAAACGAAATGGTTTCGCTTAATTAAAAATTATTAAATAATTTTTCTTCTTTCGCTATTATCTCTTTCTTCTTTGACGTTAAGTTTCTTCTCTCTTGATTCCATTCGAAAAAAATGTTGATTCTTGTTTCGATGATTACGGCTCATTAAATAGAGGAATGGGGGATAAAAATCTGTGTAATCACCAAGAGCGTAAGGGGTACAGACAAATATCAAAAAAAGAACACAACTTCCTGAACTTGTAACTTTGTAAAATGGTTACAACTTACTGAAGAATGGACCCAGCTCATTTCTCAGTGGAAGCTATGATCA